CCCCAAAACCCCAAAACCCCAAAACCCCGAGTTATAAGCGAGATATAGGAAAGAAGTAATCATTATATATTTTACTAGAAATGCTTCCATTCGTCACAGATATTAATTTCTCTTCAGGCTTTAATGAAGAAGGCTCAGATCTCGCAATGAGCCTTTGTACAAATGAGGATAAACAGAGTGCAGTATTAGACTCATTACAAGAGATTACACAAGATTTGGGATGAACAGTTTCAAATTCGTATAGTGTAACCACAGTAGATCCGAAAGAGACTCAATCACAACATGACCAGTATCCAATTAGGTCTAGCCAGAAGGCAAACAAGAAGGGGAGGAAGCCACTGATTCCTGGCCTTACTAAAAGAAATGATATTGTTATCAAGTCTTTGATTAGAGCTATAAAAAGGTTTCATTGGGTACGTTTCAAGAAGACTACCTCTTACTCAACCAAAAGAAAGTATTCATACGAGAAAAGAAGAGAATTTCTGAGAAAGTACATTGAGCAAGAATTTGGAATGGAGCCCACTAGCCCATTCTTAAATACACTCAACCTTGTTTTATTCATGAAAAAGTCGAGGGATGACGTTAATAACATTTTCAGTGAGTTGCTTTACAGTTTTAGCCAGCCTAAGCTTGAGAATTGTATGAAAGACCCTTATTTCAAATGCTTAGTCTACCACTTCTCCTTCGAAGCAAAACTTGATGAACTAGATAAGAACTTTAGAGAGGGGATTAAGGTGATCCTCAACTTCTAAAGTCTCGAAATAATCAAAGTGAATGAAGTGACTTTGTTTATATTTCCAAAGCCTTCAAATGGCATCATAAACTATTTTCATTCATAAAATAAAAAGAGTAAACCCATATTTTATTAAACTGAGTTCCACCCCATTTATTTCTGAATGTTTATGGAATCTGAATTCAATCTGGATTTAAGGTCTTAACCTTTCTTATAAACTTCTCTTTGCTGTATCAAATGTGTTTATATCTATACCTTGTGCATGAAGAGTTCTTACATTTCTACTCTGAATAAACTGATTATTCGTACTAGTATTTTCATAACTACTTAGTTTTATATGAAATAACCTAGAACAAATGTTTTAACGAAGACTGTGGATGGGGCGTTTAGACTATCATTCTTGATGGAGAATTTAGAGACAATTTAAGTAAATAGAGTAAACTGGGAGATAGTAATGAAGATTTTCTTAAATTCTAGCTGACATTCTTTTTGAAAAACATCACGTTACCATACAGAATGTTATTTCAATAGGAGATATATGAAATTTTCAGAAATTTCATTGGTTTCAGTAACCTCTTTTGAAAATTTTTATTCTTTTATCTTGTAAGATCTTTTTATATAATTTTGATTACTCAAACTCAGTTGCTATGCTATTTGATTTTGAAAATTTATTCAGTTTGAGGTAGAAGCTGATTAGTGGACTTGTAGACTTTCTCACAATAATTAGTATTACTTCGACTTATAAAAGAAATTACCCAATACTATAGATCTAGTATTTTCTACCTCCAAAAAAAAAGTTCCAATCATCTAAAGTAAACAAGCCACTATCCACACTTAATCAAAGGGTGCATTCAGAATGATTTGTTGCTATAAACTGCAAATTTTCAAGCACTAATATTTATAACATCTTTCATATCTAAAATTATAATAGTGCTGGCTCTCTTGTGCACTAAATCATATAAACAATGAATAAGTTACGAAGTTAATACTTCCTTCATCAATTTGTGCATGAATCGATATAGTTATACCATATCTTAGTATTGTTCTTTAATGATAACTTGAAAAGAAGTATTCCAGTAACCCAGAGCTTTACTGCACTTTATTTTCAGAGAATGTTGAGGAGAAGAGAGTGAAAAGAAAGATGAGATACAACTGTGTTATAAGATATTGGTCTTCTCATAGACTTTCAGAGAAGTTTTCACCACTCAATGGTTTTTATTTGGAAGTTATTTATCAAAATTCAGCAAAATCTTAACCAAAACTTAGAGATATCAGCAATTGGGTGCCTTTAAAGCAATAATTTATCTCCAAGAGCTCTCTAAGCCTTTTTGCTAAAGATCTACACAGCTTTGTTTGAGCAGAAGTAGAATATGATTAATCTATCCTTCTTTCCAAGATACTACCAGGAATCGATCATTACTACAAAATTATCAGGATGAATACAAAGACTGCAAATGGGAAATATATTTCAACAGAAAAGCAAGCTAGTTGGATAGAAGATTTTACCGAGGATTACTTCTAAAAGGGAAGAAATATTGAAGTTCCTTGGAATTTTAAGAACCCTCATTATTATTGCATCCTGAGACATTTTCAACGATGTGAGTTTACTACAGCCTTGGAGACTCTCACAGTATAATATTGTGCTTCTACATATTTTCTGAATTCTTATTTTTCAGAGATGGGTTTAATTCAAAAATCTGTTTTATCTATAAAAATTATGAAAAATTAATCTCATATTTCAAACTTTTCCTTAATAAAAGCTTCTAGCATCACTAGTGGAGTTTATTAGCAACTTAATTTTAGTATTGTCATTAATAATTTCAGAGATCTTTCTTAACCAAGCAAGCTGCACAGAATTTTTAGCTAAAATATTTCAGAATAATTCAGAATTTTTCGTAACTACAGCTGATAAGATTATTATCTGTCAAAAACATGCAGAGGTTATCAGTGAGCCCTTTATTCTATCAGGCAGCAATTCTCTTTCATATTTTTGTTCTAAAGTTCTCAGAGTTATTATTAAGCTTTTATTAGGAGGTTTATACATAAGCTCTGCCAACTTGTGCCTAAATATTCAATAATTTCTAGTTAATCTTATGAATAACATTTCTTGAACTCAAAATTGTCTCATTGTCTTAACCGAATTCTGGACAAACTAGGCTAAATGAAGCTCTGAGATTCTTTGAGTATCCAAGGGCTTTTATCATCAACTCAGACTTATAGATATGCGGTTAGCTCAAATATCAGCCGAATCCTCAAAGAATAAAACGAAGCATGGGGAGGAGATACTTGAAGAACGAATTTTTCATATAGAAAACTATTCTAAACTCCTTTACTTCTTTAAGGCTTATCCGAAGACTTCTCTATTAAAGGACTAGATGATGCTAAAGTACTTCTTGCTGGTACAATAGCCAGACAATTGCTTGATATCATGGAAAGTTAATTTCTAATAAACATAAGCTCAATCTTCGTGTAAATATTAATAATCAGAGAATGGAAGGTTATGCTTAGAATTTATCTAACTATACAATAATTAATTTACCCTCAATCATATGCTCTAGTTGATGTTCCTTTTTCATCATCATCTCTAGCTAGTTTTAATGAATTTATTAAAGAAGCTCAGCCGCCATTTTCTACTTACTTGTCATCACTAATTGAGTAGTAACTTTAAATTCCGAATTTTCGTTAGTATGGAAGAATTTTAATTCGGTTTTAAGATACTAGACCTCCTTTAGAAATCTTTTTGCAGGCATTAGAAGCCATATCAAATTGCTAAATATCAGTTAGCTCGATACAGGACTTGAGTTTTAGAAGAAATAATTCGAAATTTTCTAAAATTACAAAACTCGGTTTTACTAATCCTACATTTTCTCAATATCAAATATGCACTTTATTCTTTGAAAAGAATCTGAAATGAATCAACTTTATGAGGTGAACATAAGAGGTATTATCATTGAACTTTATCACTGGGACTAAGATGCTCTTGGATATTAATAATTACTCTGATTTATAAAAGGATTAGGGTTAAGAATCTTTCAAAAATAAGAGGGCACAAATAAATATTTATCAACAAGATGTAGTTATTCTAAAATGTGGGGCAAGTTAATTAAAGAAACAATTATGAAAAATTTCTTAAATCTATAAGAAAGGGTACAATTCTTGTCCATATATATGCTTAAATTTTTATGTTGCTGTAATGATCACCAGTAAGAAGCATCCCTTCTCGATTTTTAGTCATCATCTATGATGAGAGTTTAACGAACAGTTGAATTTCTGTAGAAAATGGAGCATGCTTTTCACTTTTCCAACCATTGATTTAAACTTATGAATTATTACTCATGACCACATTTCGAATTCTTGTTCTTTTATAGATATGAGCATCTTCAAATAAACTATCTTTCTTCTTAACTCAAAAAGGGTATGCACCTTATGAACAAGTCTCTTGCTCCTAATTAAGAAATATACTCCTGCCGCTAGACTTAATTTTAGTAGATTTAAACTTAAAAATTCGAATTATTCGTACTTCCATGATGCTCCAAAATATGCAGACAGATCTGGAGAGAGTTATCTTTTCTCCTTAAGCTCAGATGCTATACTAAGGAAATGTTTAGCACTATTAGTTTTTACCTGCTTTGAGGCTCTTGCTGAGAAATCAGCAGACATTTTTATTATTGAAGCTTTTTAGAGTTGTATTTTCAAATTATTGTCTAAAAGGCTTGATTCTATTGACTGTTAACCACAAGCATAAAGCTCCTAGCATGTTTGCCTAGCTATAGATGAAGAAAAATGAGTTTTAAGGGTTAAATCAAGATTAGGATAGAATTCAATTAGTAAATTAAAATTTGGGGTTTTGGGGTTTTGGGGTTTTGGGGAG